GCCTAATTAGTTTGTCGCATGTCATAAGTTAAACTAATGGGAGCTAATAGGGGGTAATAGTATTTAATAGTACAATTCCTATTTCACAGGCAGTTGAAAATGACTCTAAATCTAAACTGTGTGTCATGTTCCTGATATTGGCATTAAACTTGATAGGTAGCCTTGTAAAATTTATCAAAATAATGGTTAGAATGGACAATGTTTGGAAAATGAGCACTTTGCTAACATAATTATTATATATTTTTTTCTTTGCTGGCCGCTGTCTGATTAAAAAACAGACTTAAGGCCTTATCATTATTCAGTGATCAAACGTTTGAGCTTCTTGCTCTATATTACCACCAGGCGCTTTAAAATCAAAATTGATGTAACTCCAATGGTTTTGATTGACAACAAAATTACTCATTGCGCAGTAAGAGTGTTTGAGTTGGTTGCACACACCACGATGCAAACAATGCCACTGAATTGCCCTATTGATGGTTTTCAACCATTCCCAGGAGAGAAAGTTTAACAAAAGATGTGCGCCATTGCTGGTGGACCTGACAAAAGAAAACCACCACCGTGACTGGTGGACCTTTTTGTTTTGCTCACTCTCATGGGAATGGTTGAAAACCATCAATAGCATAATTACAAAACACCAAAACATTCTATTGTTTTAACGCTAAGGATTATGGTCACCATAGGGGATCAGAATGACTGCATATCAAATAAAATGTAGATGAGCWATCATGATTGATAAATGATATGCAACAAAACTCAATACACAAAACTTCTACTTTCGGAAAATTGAGTCTTTCTGAGCATCTATCCACAATGTAAACATACTGTTACAGTAATGTCATTATGCATAGGGCAATATTGTGGTTTACACAAAAAAAAGGAAATGACCTCTTGCCTATATGAGCAAGACACTAAACACACAGAATACTGCATGTTCACTGCCTTTTTTGTATCACCAAAAATATACACTGTAAAATCCCTATTGAAAATAATCTAGTTTACAATAATATAAAACTGTATAGAACCCATATCTTTAAGAGACAATGAGCAGTAATAATAATAATTCTCATAATTAATTAAGACATTTTCTCGGGCCTGCGTAATGTGTCTTTCAACCAACTGGCAACATCTACTTCTCTTGATTCGTAACTCTTAATGAAGGGATGTTGCTGGAGTAAAGAAAATGTTATTGTTAAAGATAGAGTGGAAACACTAGAGTGATCTCAATTAAACCGTGCAACTGTACAAACTAAATAGTGCTGTTTAGTTGTATTTAGTAAATTGTGCATGCGGTATGCAAATAAATTGAATTGATACAAATGAAGCCATCAATACCATCTTCTTTCACGTCCACTTTTAGTGCACTTTTAGTTGCATGGTTTAAGTGCGATCACTCTAAAAGCATGAACAAGTACTAAAGAAATACTGCTACAGTGCATATATGCTACAGTGCATATATGGATGGATACAGCCTTTTGCAAAAATTATGAGAATTGTCTAAATATCTAAATATCATAATATCCATATCCATATATTGTCCGGAACACGCGGGTTTGCTAGAATAATTCATTGTTGACATCGAGAAAATGTTCAGAACTACGGATAAGTCAGTCGCCAAAAAAAAATAAACAACAAAGACAAGGGACTAAGGGCATCGCGCGGGATCATGCACTTGATATTATGATATTTAGATATTTCAACAATTCTCATAATTTTTGCAAAAGGCTGTATAGGGTTTTTCCATTGTATATAATAGATTAATAGTTATTGATATATGTGTTGAAGCACAGAAGCAGTACTTACCAGTAGCTTATCGTATTTAGGTCTGTAATTATGATCTTTTATTAAGCTGAAAAGAAAAGAAATGATAAGGTGAACAGATGGCATGTTTAAATAAAAAATACAAAATGAATAAAAAATACAAAATGATTATAAGATTATAAGAAAAATTATAGATTAAGAAGACAAACTGCTGGCCACAAAAAATAGCATGGGGATTGTAAGTCATACCATTCATTAACAAATGCACAAAATTCCTCYGAAAAGTCTTTATCACTGGGTAGTTGAGGGGGATCCTCACTCATAACTCTTGTTAGAACTTCAAACTCTGTAGTACAGTCTCTGTATGGAAACACTCCAGTTGCTAACTCCACCTAAAGAATAAACAAGTAGATTTTAAGTCCYCTGTATCGAAATAAGGTAGCAGGTTTAGCAGGGGGGAGGGGGAGGGGGAGTATGTACACCCATGGACAAACACAATGTTTTGCTACATTTTTCTTTTAACACTTACTAGCTAGTTTTAGTTCCTGTCATCGTAACATAATATATGCTTAAGTGCTAAGATAGTAGAAAAGCCTTACCAAAGATATACCAAGACTCCAAACATCTGCTCTAACATCATAATCRGGGTGCATAGGGTCAGGGGGGTCAATTCTTTCAGGCTAAAGTAGAACAACATTGAATATAATTACTGACATCATTTCTAATAGTTTATACTGTTATTTAATTTTCATTTAATTTATTACAATTCATATTATATTAATTAGACTACTGTCATTCAAAACCATTGGTAGAGTGATCGCACTTAAACCGTGCAACTGTACAAACTAAATAGTGCTGTTTAGTTGTATTTAGTAAATCATGCATGTGGTACGCAAATTAAATTGAGTTTGATACAAATGAAGCATTCAAGACTGTCTTATTACAGGTCCACTTTTAGTACAAATTAGTACTAATTAGATTTTTTAAAGTAAGTTGCACGGATTAGTGCAATCACTCTACTGTCTGAAATTTTGTCCAAAACAATTTTTTACTCATCAAATGGAATACCTTGTGTGCAATTAACAATAACTACTTACAGCGAGATAAGCAGCACAACCAGCTCCTTTTGTTTTTGCTTTRGAGTCAACCAGTCTTCCACTAATGCTAAAATCACACAACTTGACACAACCACTTGAATCCAGCAGCATATTTGATGGTTTTACATCTAGAGTCAAAATAAAAAAGTTGCAAAATGTTGGCTAATATGGTGGTATTTTAGTTGTTTTTGAGTCTGCAAGACTAGACTTGCTCCATATGTCTTTCTTGTCATGTTTACTCGAGAGTTATAGTAAAAATAATATAGAAGGAGAATCATTGGAAGGTGGTTGCACCCCCCTGTTTCTGTTAATTCCWACTAGTATACGAACTCCATTTCTACCTCTATGCATCACTCCATGTTTTTCCTTTAAATAATGCAAAGCCTTCACAATCTATTAAACAAAACAGCAATGGATAATTAGCTACAACTAAGAAGAGTACATGTATATGGGCAGAGACATTTTATTTTTTCTTGAAGGAGGGGAGGACTAGCTTAAAACAAACTTTGGACATTATCAAAGTCAGTAGTAAAACAATACAGGTTGGGATAGAAGTTTTTTTATGGGGGGTTGCATTAGGAATTACTTGCAGTAATAGCACAGCCATTTTCCAATGGATGTACCAGAAATAATGGTATTTTTGTCAGAGGAAGGAGAGAGGATACTTACAGCAACAGCCATTTTTCCTAGAATATATTCAGGTATTGGTCCTTTGAGTCTTTTTATTAATTTGTCAAGGCAGGTGGTCATAAGCTCCATGCATATGAAAACATCGGACTGAAAAAAATATACCAAAATCAACCACATTTTTTCAATGTTGACACAGCTTTCACATCCATTTTCATGAAATGAAGAATTTAGTAACCTACCYTTGATATGTAACAACCAACACAGTTCACAATAAAAGGACAATCATGACTTTTCATAACAACTTCAAGATCCATAAGGATTCTTTTCTGTTCTTCCTTATTATGACTTCTTGCCATTCTCTGTGAAATGATGAAAATGATATTGTGAATTACTTAATAACACAAGTTTTGACGATTTTCTTTTGATGTCTGCAGACGTTTCAAGTGACGATTTTCAAAAATAGCAACATTTCAACCCAAAAGCTAACAAGCAACATGTCAATTTTATCAGATTCAAGGAGTTTTCCAGGAGTTTCAGCAATGTTCCCCATTTTCAAAAGTTTTCAATTCCAGGACTTTTCAAGTACTTCAAGCCGTAGTAGCACGAACCCCGATGTTAAAAGCGTTTCTTTTAGAGACTATGTAGAGTCTGGTAAGAATACCTTGACAGCTAGCACTTGTCCTGATTTCTTGTGCTTCATTTTAGATACCTGTCCACARGTACCACAACCAATCTCATCCTGTAGCTCCAAGTCATCAATATTGAATTCATATTTCTAGTAGAAACAACCAAATAATTCATATCTTCTTTATTTATAATGCATTTTATAATTGTCATTTTCCATCACAATTGTGGCATGACCATATCATGTAATATGCAACAATGCCATTTTGTACAGCAAAGAATATTCAAAACAGCTTAGGATGACACTTTTAGCAGACATAAAAGTGTGTGGACTAAAACTCCCATCATGCTTTGTTGCACAAAATGGCGACACTTCACATTGCTTATATGATGCATTATTGATTATGGTTTACTTAACATACCTTTCCTTCAAGTCTAAGGATCCCTGTCTGTTTATTGATCTCTTTCAGTTTCTTTTCAATGCTAATTAAATGTAGAAAATGGTTGATTCTAGTTATTGGAACTGCATGCAGTTGAACGACTGGTTATAAGACATATACTTGATATCTTTTACAGGGATATTATTCATTATGCACTTTATCTACTCTATGACATACATAATACACTGTCCTCTACATTGTACTTTATCATATATTTTTTGCATTGATTTATTCATTTAATAATCTTTCGTTTTTTTGTCCATTTTACCTTTCATCTTCTCCACCTTTATTGCTAAGCTTTCTTACATGAAACCTTCGCCTTGGTTTGGAGGATCCATCAATAGATAGGTTAGCTGAGGATGCAAATATGAATATATTTCAAAAAAGGTTTTTGGAGTCAAGACTGATTGTAACAAGTCACTTGTCAGTGAGAGATAATGCAGAAATGAAAGGAGTTATACATGTAGAACCTGACCATTAAAAGAAGTAGGTACTTTAAATTATAAGAATTACTGACATTTCATGAAATTCTGTAGTATATATCCTTGTAAAAACAGGGTTTCGTTAGTCTTATTGCAGCTGTTTATGTGTCGGCATTTTCTCACAGGGATTGATTATCGCAATCTGATGAGATTGACAACATGCACATGCATTTATGCTTGAATCATGAATAAGCAAAATAGGCACCGAATTATGCTAGTTCGTTCTTTAATTGTTGAAGTGCCTATAAATATAATTCACATTATTCACCAATAACAACAACTAACTCAGCAAATGTTATTGATGAAAATAAAAGTTCACCACATGTTATAATATTGACATTATTATTTGCATGGGTAAACAGAAATCAAAAATATTAAAAATTGGAGTGAGTTTGGGGAAATTTGACTTCAAAAATAATTTTAGCATCGTCATACAGCTCCTGTAATAATATAAAATGGAGAATCAGAAACAGTATWAAATAAWWGTGTTRTTCTAAAGAGTCGTCTYGGCGAGAAGATCGAATTTATAAATACAAACGCTCTACGCCATAAGAACATCGTAACATTATTAACTTAGTTGACAATTTCGCACGAAATCAACAAGAAAACTCCTGAACTCCACTTCAAAATTTCCCTAATTATAAAGAATGCTATCCTAATTATCGAAACCACAAGAATACATCCCTAAATGACACATTTTAATCAAAATACTAAATAAATTCAGCAAAACAATTGAACAAAATGGCGAAWATAAAAATGTYGCGTTGTAAAATCAAGATACGTCGTGTCGATCGACTCTCTCGTTTCTAAGGACTTCATAAAAACACAAATCAACAGCGATAAAAACATGCTTTTCATCCTTAAAAAATAACCAAAGTACTAGTGCTTGGAGTGACAACAACTATCATTAAAACAAAGCAAAGACCAGTTCATTTCTGGTACAGAATTAATAAAAAGTTCGGTGCCATATACAAGCTACAAGTAGTCTTACCTGGTCGTGGCTTCCTCCCGGGGCTTAGAGTTAACCCTAGAAGAGCTCTACTTGGTGGCTTGGTTTTTTCGCCTTCTATATCTAATTCYGGTGACTTTGTATTGTATTCCTCCTTCAATCTCTGTCCTAATCTTTGRATTTTAGCTTGCAAATCCGCCGCCATTCCCCATATTTATAAAAACACCATGTCAAAGAATATATAAACGCACTGCACATGCGCATTAATAATTTACATATCCCCCGGCGGCCATTGCGGGGGTGGTTTGAGCTAATTATATATGCATAGTCAAGGGCATTTTTGAAATGTCTCGAGAGGTCAAGGGCGTGTCGAGGYGTSGCCTGCTTRCAGGTGTGGAAACAACGTAACGTGAAGTCTAACACAGCGTGATAAATCCAAGTGTGTCGGAATCTTGAAAGAAAATTTAAAAAATCGGAAGGGAATGAGAAGACCTCAAAGGAATATTAGAAATGCCTTTAACCTGACCGAAACAGTAAAAAGATTACGAGGTATCATGAAACGCAACATTTTGAACTATTCTTCATCCAGTTGAAATGCGCTATTTGCAAAACGGGACGATTACCCAGTTTCATTAGGTTTGAATGACTGCCAAGCAGTATTTGACAAACTCTGTCAGTACTAAATATTTTTCTAGTTTTATAAATATATATTTTTGAAATAAACTTATTAAAGCGCAAGTAGAAAGTATCAGTTGACGGTATCCCCATTTCCCTACTTAAATGAAGCGTAGTCCACAGTTTAAAAAAAACACATTCAATGACCCTCTCTCTACTTCGCTTCACTGAGCAATCTCTACTAATTGAAATCAGCTGTGCGGCTTCTTGTCAAGAATGGCTGGGAATCTAGATACCCTTAATACACGTGCCCTAAAGCACGCTAAAACCATTTTTCACAGTACACAATAATGAGATACCACATCATCCATAAGCAAAAACTAGAAAAAAACTCAGCAGAGTAATTCAACGTCTATTACTGAAAAGAAAAGTGACTGCCTTTTTTGTTCTAGTAGAAAGAAGAAAAATAATAAAATGTCAAATGAGCCTATTATTCTTTTCATTTCGATAGAAATTCCCTTTATCGTCCCTACCCCTATCGATAAAGATAATTGTGATGGATAAATACCAAAGCAGGTGTTCATCGTTCTTTAAAAACACCCTAGGGTAGCCAACAAACATCATGAATTGTTGTGCGAAAAGGCAACAGGTCAGAAGCTGTAAACATATGCAACTATATTTGGTTCAGTAACTCGTAACACAWTTATCATTCACGGTCAAATGAAAACAGCTTATCACCACAGCAGCTGGTCGGGTGGCATAGGCGTTCGGTTGAAAAATCAGTTAAAATTAAATAAAGACGAAGAATAGACCAAGAGCAAGCACTCATCTATCACACGGCACTCATTAACCGAAACACTACCAACCTTTCAAATCCAACAAATCGGGAAAAAGGAATTGATTCCGAGTGGGAAAATTAGACTATTTTAGGGTTTTTTTTAAACAATAGATTGCTATGACGTGTCTTGACGTCATGAATGTGACGTCACTATATGACGACATGGTATGTAAGGAATCCTAAATACGCCTTTTCATTGAACCTTGACCTTACCGGACTACAATGGAAAGGCTTATTCAGTCATACTCCATTTTGCAATTCTTGGCATGCGTAGCGGCTCTCTTGGGATCCCTGTGGTCAGGGCCATCTTGAAAGGCAGCCGAGCCTTTCCATCAAAGCAAGATACGAATTGTGAATTCAGTACAGTGACAGATAACCTTTGTTCACACACTATCCTGCTTTAAAATATCCCAACTTTTCAAATCAAACTGGCCCCCCAACCTCGTTCCCAGGGGCTTATCCCTTCGCTTGGGGTCAGGCAGGAAAATGCGTGTACAGTAGTTAAATGTAATTCAAACTGTTACAAGGACTTTCCACGCACTCAAAATAAATAGTGACGATGGATGTGTAATGTTATGATAATTTATTACACACAGAATTTTAGGGTGTTTGGCCAGCCGATGCCAGGGCCTCTTTCCTGCCTGACCCCACGCGAAGGGATAAGGCCCCGAGAACGAGGTTGACTGGCCCCCTCCACTGGCACTAACACAGGAATCCCAAAAGGGAAAGATCTGAATACCACCCGCCGAGTTGACTCTGTATAAACAAGGAAAAATGACAATATGTTTTCTCCTGGAGCTCTTTATTTCATTGCTGTAGAAATTGCTTTACAATTTGATTAACGGTTGGACTTGGCTACACGCTCCAATTCATCCTTCTTCTTGATGGCATAAGAGTTAGAGGATCCCTTAAAATAAAACAATTTMATTTTAATTGCTATTTTTGTGACAAGAGACAAAAAGAAGAGACCCCAATTTATACAATAAAGCATGAAGGGGTGTAGGACGTTTTTTAACAGGTTTTGTAAAGAGCCCAACAGATATAAAACAGCACAAGATCTGCATTCACCATCATGCATTGCTCAAGTAAATGCTTTCACTGCACAATGTTTATAAATTTTGCACATGGCCAACCCTGGGAACTAGAGGCTAGATTTACTTGTTCTTGTAGTTTATATACGGCACAAAGCGCCATCCTTAAGGCCAATAAAAACTACAAGAAAGAGTAAATCCAGCCTCTGGTTCCCAGGGTACATATGGCCCACACATTTCCTGAAAGTTTTAAATGCTAGCCACTCTGCTTATAGAAAATGTGTCATTGTGCCAAGGATTTTAGGTAAGAGTGTATGAACAATATCGTTGACTACCATCATAATCCAAAGCACATTATCATAATCATACATATACACCCACCACCCCATCATCATCATCATCATCACACTATTCTGGTTACCTTGGCAGCATTAATCAGTTCATCAGCCAAACATTCAGCAATAGACTTGATGTTCCTAAAGGCAGCCTCTCTAGCACCAGTACACAGCAGCCAGATGGCTTGATTGACACGACGCAGAGGGGAAACGTCAACAGCTTGTCGTCTAACGGTACCAGCACGACCAATACGTGTGGAGTCTTCACGTGGACCACTGTTAATGATAGCATTTACAAGGACTTGAAGGGGGTTCTGTTTAAACAAATTGAACGTTATCATCATCATTATCAACATCATCATCATTAACATCATCATCATCATTATCAACATCATCATCATGTATGCCTTATGGATTTTTAGAATCACCGAACAAATTGCAGGTGTTAACATAACATACTGTAATATATTTGAAAACTAGTCAATATGAAGTTCGGCCTACATCGACAGACAGGATAACAGCCGTATCAAATGTTCACTGTTTTCAAGTGAATCTATAACCTGCTGTAAACAAGCTGTGATGTTATTATGCAATAGGGCAATCACACACTACTTTACCAACAGGGTTCTCTATAGCAGTWGGTAGCCAACAAAATAACTGGTAATAGGCCTTTTGCATAAAACGGTCACATGGTACAAAATCCGCCATACTGCATACCAGAATACCCACTGGGCTTTTCAAAACAAAGTCAAGCTGACAGTCTGCGTTCCTTTTGTTTTTGAGGTTGAGACATTCTCTTGCCATCTAGTATGGCAGATTTAGTACCATGTGACTGTCTCATGCAAAAGACCTATTCCTTAGTTAATCACTGGTCACTTMATGCAGCTGCAGAACTTCTGACTACTGATGCCAGGCAATTTGTCTACTTTTTTTGTAAAAATTTATAGCCTCTAATATATCACAAGAGCAATATTAGTGGAGTCAGGTTGTGTTTGGAACACCAACCAGATCTTTCGAACCCATGTGATTAAGTGTTAACAGAGCACCCTGGCAGTTGGAGCCTAAGAAAACCTTTGTTTACCTCTCCAGTAAGAAGGTGGATGATTTCAAAAGAATGCTTGATAATCCTGACTGTCATGAGCTTCTTTCCGTTGTTTCTTCCATGCATCATCATGGAGTTGGTGATACGTTCAACAATAGGGCACTAAAAAAAGAACTAAAACTTCAATACTTATAAAAAATAAATACAATAAACTTGATTGCGACACAAAGGTAGGGAGATAGTACATGACACTAGTGACTCTCTAGGCTACAAAATACTGATTCCATGTATCTCGCCCTGATTACTCTTTGTTGAGTATTACGTTACTCTGATCAAGAAACAATCAGCATTTCAAAAAAAAACATTAGTCTTAATAATCCAGTTTCGAATTCTCCAATTCTCTGTGTTAGCCTCATTTGTGTGTAAAATATTCCTAATTGTGAGAATAAAAGTGTGAGATTTCAAATCAATTCTATTGTCTTTCTTTTCAAATTCCATGCGTTTTCTTGKGCTATCAATGAAACAAAAGGATATGTTGCTTGCTTTTGAGTCTAACACAGAGCAAACCAGAGCTTGAAATCGGAGTATTCCATAGATTAACAAATTCTAATAAATTGCAGCAATCCTTTTTACTGATAATATCACTGGAACATTTTGATTGGGTTTGACAAACACTTGAACTTGGCATACAACTATTATGTTGACAAGTTTTTGTGTCTTAACAAATCAATTGTTTAATGGTTCATTTGACRAACGCCATAAGTTTTTGCAACAAACAAAAAGCTGGAAATACAGAAACAGTTTTAKTACATACCTGAGCCTTTCTGAACCTTTTTGCAGCATATCGGCCAGCWGTGTGAGGCAAGTATGTGGAGTACTTTTCTTTGACAGCAATGTAATCCTAGAAAAGGTGGAAATAATACGAATTGAATCTACATCTAGATCTACATAGTTCCCGCACTTGGCAACATTCATGGAAGCTATGGTGGAAGGCATGGGGTTACTAGCTGTATATTAGTATGAGGTCTCATTGACTAGTAACCTTTATACAAACACTACGCCAAGCCGACCTCAATGCTGGTGAGATGAGCAATGAGAAGTGTAGAGACGGGACCTCTGATTTAATGTCGTTATCCAAATGGACACACAGAAGATGAATGACTGGCAAAACTTAAACTCTATATGTACAGTATGCAAATTTCTATTGAGCCAGACAGTGACGGGGTATTCTAAAATTGCTCCTATAACATTAAAGCAGCCACATTCATAGCTGAGAAAAGGAAAGGAAGAGAGAGGTTTGGATGCTAATGAACCTTCATCACAACACAGGTACTCAGCTGTGAAGGTCACATCTAACCCTCTCTTTCTGTTTTCCCAGAGTAATTAATCGATGGAAATCGATCATCGATTACCTAATCGATCAATCGATATTAATTGATGGAATTAGTTAATTAATATCGATTAATATCGATTTTATCGATCATCAGTTTCATCGATTAATTACTCCGGGCTGTTTTACAGAGCTAACCTGGGGAAAGTACTTTGAAACTTACTGTTAAACTGATATCACTGACTTGGACATCCTCTGTGCTCCATTTACCAAACAACTTAATATCAGGCACTTCAGGTGCAGATACAACTGGTGCATCATCTACAGCTCCCCAGTCTTCWGACATCTTGGCGATGTGACTACAAAAAATAGTATGAAATATACACTGACAGTTTAATTTCACGTTTAAAAACAGTTCCAATGGCATGTGTAAGATACAATATTAACTCAAAACCTTAAATCTAGAAGGCTGATGCTAATATATTGTATAAAGCTTTTACAAAAAAACTGCAATCATACTGCTACAGCTAGTTGCTTTATAATGTTTGTATAAATTTTACAGTTTTTTGATAATATAGTCTGAAATATCAAATTTTCAAGRCATCCTYMATAGTGGTTATAAAGCAAAACGTCAATTCATAAACACTGACAWTCATTAATGCAAAATGCATTGTTCTTCTAGTTAGAGACATCAGCAAAGATCTGATATTTTATTCGCCAAATGTAGATACAAAGATGGCGGAACAAAGTCTTTCTTGGACCTCTAACGAAACCCCTTATAATTTGAACTTTGTGAAACAAGGAATGCCTAAATCTATACACCACTGCAAAGATCAATRATCGGTGCTTTTATTTTATTATCAAAATCTTAAAGAATAGGGGAATCTGACAGTTTATTTTCAGTTAAAATTTGTATACTTCAATAGCCGCCATCTTACCTTGAGCTAAACGTGTAAGAGAAAGAACGAGGCTCGGCACGTGGGTTTAAGAAACGGGGCGGACGCGAATGAACTCGGGATTCAGGGAGCTTTCCGAGCTGATATCGATCGACTTTCCCTTGGGGTGTGGGTCTGGTCACGTGACATAATTCGGTCGCCATATTTGTCTCAAAACAACAAGTGCACTTTCCTGTCATCCTTTGCTTTGCTTGTTGTTTCCGCTTTCAAAATGGTGTTTTTTGAAACCTGTGGTCCGAACGAGGCAATGGTAGTCTCAGGTAATAATTTCTCTACAAGATCAGCTCATAAATTATCGAGAAACTGCGATCAAACGCTTGAAAGTCGCTTCCAAACGCAACCGTAATCCTTTGTTGATTTCATTGATCTCAATTCATTTTGATCATCAGGGATGTGCCACTCAAGACCAGCTTTGGTGACTGGTGGACGGATATTTGTTTGGCCGGTTGTCCAGAAACTGCAAAAGTAAGAAAACCTGTCTTTTAGAGCGATAAAATGTCATTTCCTTGTGAAGATATTGACTTGATCCCAAAGTTCTGCATGCTAAAGATGTTTGATAACAAAAGCCTTGTACAATTCATTGACTTCATGCCTCAATACCTGTTAAATTGACTAATTTTATTGAATGATATCATATGATTACCTCTATGATGAAAAAAAGCAAAATTTGTCGAMATTTTTATCGATTTGGCGTGACTATTTGTGAAATAAACAGTAGCAAACTTATAGTATACGTACATGTACAATGACGTAATTATATAATTTTGCTTTCAAAGAATATTTTTCATTTTATGTATCCCCAATGCTTTAAATAGTAGGGCAACTTAACCCTATTTCATAAATGAATTAGGACAAATAAAATGTAAACTTCCTATATGACTAATTCAGGATCTTTGAGCATCTGGGAAATTACTACAATTTGGAATGTCTTTGAGATTATATGCGTGATAGAATTTAAATGACTATAAATAGATTAATTAATATCAATTGTGTCAGTCAAAGTAAATATTGTGAATATTGCAATATATTTGTTTGTTTAACGACTATTTTCACATTATTAAATCATAATGATTATAACCATTGCTATTTGTAAATATTTATTTGAAATATTTCTAAATACAACAATATGAAGAAATTATGATCATTTTGATTCATATTTCAAGTATATATAAAAATAATATATCCTCCTCTGTCTCACAACATGGCAGGGATAGCGTTGTCCTTTATGGTTGTCGTGAAGTCACGTTTTTTAGTTATTGTGATTGCAACACAAGAATTGAATGCATATTTTAGAGTAAAGTCCAGTATTGAACTGTCTTTCTTATGATTGCTACTGTAGGATTTCATTGAATACAATGACTCTAAACGTTGAGTCTCCCAAGGTTTATACACGTCATGGAGTACCAATATCAGTGACTGGAATTGCCCAGGTATGTATAAACTGTRATGTCTATGATCTTCAGTAGAAAAAAGTATTTTATATTTAACTTCTGGGAGTTTAAAAAAGGCCATTTGCAGCTGGGGGTCACGTGACCACACCTACCTTAAATCAATCAGTTATCAAAAGGTGATGTTCAGAAATGGAAAGAGCAGGTTTATGTTGGTGACTCGCAGCTGCAAATGGCCTAAWTGCTGCATTACCACTAAGATGTAAAATTAAAGCTGCCAGAGTGCATGTGTTTACTCCACAACTTGGCGAGGCGTATCCCTTGAGGCATTCAGACTTTCTACTGAAATATCGATCATGAAATGATCRAACTGATTTCAGAAAAGAGTTGCATATAAGTTGGGCTTAGCAGATTTCTTGCTTGCTAACATCGCGACAACATAGTGGATTACTCATGGAGTAACCACAAAAATTGACACAAGCACAAATTACTAAATGTTATAAAGTTATGACAAAACTTGAGGGACTTGTGAAGTATCTATGATTAAACATATGATACAGTTTCTAAGCTTCTCTCATACTCYCAGCATATCCAAGGACAGAGACAGTGATACAAGACTTATCATTTCTATAAAGGGGTGTTGTTTTAAAACGTAGTGGTTTGTTTCAACTAGGTCAAAATTCAAGGACAAAATCAAGAGATGTTGCATGCTGCATGTCARCAGTTTCTCGGAAAGTCTACAGAACAGATGAGACACATTGCTCTGGAAACCTTGGAAGGTCATCAACGTGCAATTATGGGTACAATGACAGTTGAGGTATGCCYTGGAAAAGTTACTGCTATTGTTTCTTATAATAATAGTAAAAGCTCTCTTGTATTAGTGTAGTTGTTTGCTATGTGAAAGGATCACAAGTAATAGAATTTATGTCGTTTCTCATATTTATCAGCCTTGCTCAGAACTATCAGTATTATAGTGAACTTTCATTACATTGGACTTCAGTTAGGTGTCTACAATAGCAAATGTTCAATATCAAGGGAGTTGTTTTTGGAAATTTCTTTGAATTAGGGATCATTAAGTGTCTTAATTGGGTGTCTGTAATATCAAGGTTACTGYAAGGTGAAAATAAGGAGTCTAAATGTGGACGTTTTGAAGATTTAATAAGAGATTATTTTTGAACCTTTTTTTCAAACACATCTATCACAAAGTATATTGAGACTGTAGTTTATTGGAACTGATAGTTGGTTTATTCCTGTAGGAGATCTACAGAGATCGTAAAAAATTCTCAAAGAGTGTATTTGAGGTGAGTATTTACATCAAAAATCATTGCATTCTTCATTTCAAAGTTTGTTTTGATTTTGTTCTTTCCTTCGATCCAAGGGGTGGAGCTTTTCCTAAACTTGTTCAGTCATTGGCTGATTTGCAGCAACCTCTGCTCCAATTAAGTCACAGAAAAACCTAAATCCCAACGATTTTTTTTGAAAATTGAAGTTGTGATGCAATGGTGTTATGCTACTGTTTCTCACAGTGGCAAATTTCTTGCTTGATCATTCTTTTTAACTTGTGTGTGATTGATAACATGATTGTAGGTTGCATCATCTGATCTAGTCAACATGGGTATAAGCATTGTCAGTTAYACTATCAAAGACATCCGTGACGATGAGGTAAACTGCTGATTTTCAATATTTCTATCAGCTAATTGACTTCTGAACCTTTTACGTCACTGCTTGATTTTCGATGCATTGTGGGATAAGTTTCTAGAGAAAACAAAAGAAATCCGCCATGTTTTGTCCCAAACATATCCTACAATGCATTGCGTAAAAAAAGCTTCAGAGGTCTATTGCTATTATTCATTTTGAATAATAATTTAATGTTGATATGTAGGGTTATTTGCACGCTCTTGGTATGGCCAGAACAGCACAAGTCAAAAGAGATGCTCGTATTGGTGAAGCTGAAGCTCACAGAGATTCAGGAACCAAGGTATAAAAAAGGAAGAGAGAAAAACTTTTCAAGATATCATTTTATGTTTGAAAAATAAAAACAATAGAGTAATTGAATTGAGGGGCATTTTGCTGTGATAGTTGCTCTTGGAAACTATTTTGGAAAACTCCAAAAAACAAGTAGGATGGATKCAACTTTTCCTTTACAACTGATTTTTCTTTATATTACAGGTTAACAAAGGAGATAACATAATATAAAAATGACAAAAAATAGTTTACAAGTTAAAAAGTATCATATAATAGTATTATATAATAGTTGATCTCCTGTCAACAYTGGTAGACTTAGAGTGATCATATMATTATGRTCATATCTATAATGTTCCTTTTAGTGCTAGTTTGTAGAAGTTATCAGCAGTTATCTTACTGAGCATGATACACAAGAAGATAACATGATAAAAACATAGATAACATAACATGATAAAAATAGCTCAAAAACCCTGTCAGGGTATATTACATATATAATTAATCCACACAATATAAAACATGAAAAAAGAAAGATTGCAAAATGTTGCATACTTATTTTAGATGCAATATTTACAGTAGATAATACAGAACAAAACACTAAAATATACAGTAGTTAATTTACAAAGGAATATGATTTAATGTAGATAGATATGAAAAAAATGAAAAAGAGGAAGACAATTATTTTGAATAAACCTTGTGGAAAAAAGGAAGGAGTTTGTCCCATTTTTTATAATGGTATCAAAGTTTATTATCTTTGCTAGCAAATCTTAAAATCTTAAGATAAAAATGTTGATTTTTTGTACAAAGATTGAAAGAAAAAGTTGGGTCTTGGTTAAGCTACATTTGTATAGTTGCATAGTATTTTGCTAAAAGAAGAATATGATTTATCAGGATTTTATCATCTTATAATTCTGGTAATCCAAGAATTGAATTTTGTATGCTTTCAACCAGCATACTACGGATTTCTAAAGGAGTACTACTTTCTCAGATCCCACAAATAAATGTTTCATAGTTTCTTCTTGAATATCACAGGAAGAACACAGAGGAGAGTTGATTTTTCCAATCTTATATAACATACTTTTAGTGAATACAATTCTGTGTAAAACCTTTCAAAAATTGGACTGAATTCTTGGGTCKTTGKGTCCAGACAACACTTTGCAGTGAGAGAGAAGAATTTTGACCAATCTACCTTTTCCTTATACTTGTTTTCCTTTAAAAACTTACAGGKTGAGGAAATCATGRTWTCTGAAATTAAGGCACTATATATCTGCTTCTACAAATAATTGCAGGAATGGCTCAAACAAGCAAACCAACCTATACTTAAAACAGTCATGTAGAATGCAATGTGTGCTCTATAAGTTTGTACATACCAACAACTGTTCACATTTTTATAGAAACACAAGGAAAACAAGGCATTATAGTT